CAGCTGGGACTCAGGAGGCAGAGAATAGATGGGGGCGGGACCAGTCAGAGGTAGTATTTACTGGTTCTCCGAACTACTCAAAATTTCTGCTACCGGTTTTCCAAACTACTCAGGATTTCCATTACCGGTTCTCCAGAACTGATCAGAACCTGCTGAATATCACCTCTGGGTAGAGGTACAATATGTTAGAACAAACTTAGAATAACTTTACTGTCACTTTTAACTGTACACTAGCCTGCATACATTAAAATGAAATTTTCTGGCATACAGTTCTCAAAGCTCCCTCTCCAATATTCACTACGTAAACATGACAACAAAACACTTTAAATATCATATGCAGTCTGGAGTGGTATAGAAAAACAATAGCAAAAGCTTCTGTTTCTATTGTTTTGTAAATGATCTCCCTATTCACTGAGCAGGTAAACATTATATTTTTCAAATTTGTTACTCAAAATTCCTTTTCTTTTCACATGACAGTCTGCTATTATTTCAAATTATAGGAGTGGGGAATGGCTACTACATGAAAGAATGCTTAATGAGCAGTAACAAAGCTTAACCTGGAACTGGTCTGTAATTTTGTGAGCACATAACATTCTGTAAACAGCAGCAGCAGCAGCAGCAGCAACAATAATGATGCATATTTGAACTGAAAAATTAAGAAGAATATTGTTGAGCATTAACAACTTTGCTTTGGTTCCGTGTCTAAATTGGTCATAAAAATTAACAGAATATGTATTCATCAATGCCATCTGTACAGTAATTAAAAGTGAAAACTGGTGTCAGATTGCCTTGTCAGCATGCCACCCTGAAGAATTTCATGATTTTCCGAGGGACTCTTTCTCATGGAGAGTGTGGTAATTATAACATACCCTGTAGCTGCATTCTTGGAATTTTGGCAACTTGCCAAATTTTAATTGCTAATTTGCAGAATATGTTAAGTATTTTTTTAACCATTTAAATTATTTGTTTTCCAGCTGAATACTCTTGTTTATGCCCTTTATTGTAACAGGAAGAAATAGATATTTTTGAAGGAGTAAAGGATAACCAAGCAGTACGGCTGGCAGAAAATTTGGGATTCAAAGGGCCTTTGCAGCAGCAGGTAAAATTTTCAAGAATCAGCTTTTAACTATGCTGAGCTGTTCAATGAATCACTTTGCTCAATTCGCCTTTAGGATCTTTCCAGTTGCACACGGCTTGTATTCAGGGCGTCGATGGTCTTTGTTTCATCATAATATCTTGTTATACATTGTAAGCATTTGGGAAAAATAAAATATGCTATCAATTAGTGGTAGCAACAATGGCAACCATTAATTAAATTCCAATAATCTATTCTTCACTGTATATTGGAAATGCTGGCTGGTTTTTTTACAGACGGCTTTTTAAAGTGTATGTTGACATTTCCAAAAGGACCTTTCCAGAACCTTGAAAGTGCTTTGTGAGCATGGGAAGGAACCAATTTGTTTCCATGTACAGAAAGGAGTGGATCTAGGTTGGAATGGTCTGATTTAAGTCCTCCTTAACCAATTTCGTTGTATTTAAGTACAATGACAATAAAGATTATACTTATACTTAATACAAAGGTTCAGTTAAGAAAAGACATCATATCACTTCCTCATCACCTGGTTCATGCTATATATAGTAGGAAGCTTCAGGAGAAAGAAGATGACCAAACCCCAAATACCATCTGGTCATTTGAAGGAGCTATATTGTCTAAAGTAGCACTAGCATTCAGCAAAATAATCAAAAGATTTCTTGACTGAGATTAGAAGGGAATTGAGGAAGCGACATGAACCACATGACACAACTAAGTTATATGAAAGAATGACCACATTTCAGAAAACCACATTCACAATCTGGCTGATTGTGCAAGAGAGAAATACAAGTAAATACCCTGCATGGAATACCAGGCCCTAACTCTTAAATTTATCTTCTTTGTTAATATATTTTTATTGTTTTATATCACAAATTTCATTTCTTTATTGAACAGTGCGTTCTCTAGGTGTCCAGCATGTTAAAATATAAACATCCTCATAATCATTATAATCATGGATATAAAGACATATATGTGATAATCATTACTGAAAAGTATGCTATCTTCCATTATAATATCAATTATATAACCATCAAAATATCTACTAATCATTTCTTTCTTTCTTCTGTAGTCCATATTTCACGTAAATCCACTCATCTAACCTCTGTATCTGTCAGCTAACCATTTGTAGAAAGATTCCCATGTCACAAAATATTCCGAATCTTCTTTTTCTTTGATTTTTAAGATTAACTTATTCATTTCTACATTTTTTATCTTCTTATACATGCATAAAACCCTTGTCATTTTGTACAGGTAAAAATTAAGAAAAAATAGAGATAAAACCATGTATGTTTTTACATGTTTATAGATGTCTGGCCTCTATTTGTCATCATAGATACTCTCTAACCAATGTTTCTCAATCCCAAGAAGTAGGGGCTTCAGTGACCAGAATTTGGAGAGTCTAAGTCTACATTTTTAAAGACTTTGGCATGAGCAACACTCAACTCTAACATAGAATAATGAGACCATAGATAATGTATACAAGTGATTTTTTTTTTAAATACTTTTTGATGATCGTAACCGGGGAAATTTTATTATGAGGACAAAACCAAGTCTCCATGCTGATCCACTGATCAAGGAATGAGTTGATAACATATACAGACATATTGTATTCTATATGAAGATACAAAGTTCTCTATTATTGTATTATGGCACCTGATTGTGGGCTGAATGCGAAAGAAAATCTTACTTAAAGAAATTCATTCTGAAAAGTTATAGGCATTATTAAAAAATTACTTGACCCTACTGCTAATCCTTTTGCTACTCTGTACAAAGTGCTGTCTAAATCAGCATCTTGTTCCCATAATGGCCAAGCAGGTTGTAGCAGAAATCACTGGAACTGAATACTATTCTACTATAGTTACATTCCTAGTAGTTTATGCTGAAAGACACATTTGCCTCCTTTACTTAACATAAGCCCATTTTAATAGTAACCGTTTACATCTTAATATGTAAAATGAAAATTTTGATACCCATTTAAAACTACTCATATAATTTGTATTTTATAATAATCTAGAAATCAATAAAATTATATATATATAAAATTATATATATATAA